GCGGTGGAACTGAGAAAGCCAGCACCATACAAATGTCCACTAGAAACAAGAAGCAGTTACACAAAGATTTACAGACCAAAAATTGAATAACGGAGGTTTGGCTTTGAAGGCTCCACCCCAAGATAACTTCTTACCACAGTGTAAACTCACAGAACACATTTCCAACAGACATACAGTGAGTCTTTCAAAAGCATCCAGATGTCATTCACGTCTATTTTTTTACAAGTAGAAAGTCCCACCTGGGACCAGCCAGCACTTGCTGGCTGCATCTGTAACACTTAAGGCATTTACAGATCTAAGCAAGCAAGATCAGGTTACGCTGGATGTCACCTTACCTTCTCCCCGTTCTCTATCAGCGTCCGATCCCAGGCATTAACTTGCGTAGCTTGATGGAGAAAGTGTTTCTCCTGGTCTTCCAGTTCCAGACTCCACTTGTTTATCAAACTCTCCAGCTGGGCATAAGTCATCACTGGAGGCGCACTGAGAGGAAGTGCGAGACGGTACAGAACACGAGACCAAAAACCAAAATATAAACAGGACAACACTCATTTCCCCTTCCTCCTCCAGATACCAGCATTAATACTGCCTCTTGCCCCAGTCGGTTGTAACAAAATACTCACCTGGTGGTGGTTGTTGTGGTGGTGGTTATGGCAGCTGTGGACGTCCCAGCTCCAATGGCACCAGTTGTAGTTAACGGCTTAAGATTCAAAGCAAAGCCAGAAGCAGAAGTAGTGCCTGAAAGAGGAGATTCAAGTCAAGCAACAGAAGAGGACCCATCTGCTCTCGAGCAAATCGAGACCAGGTCCAACACACACTTCTAAGCGCACTGCTCTATGAGCTCAAACAGGTCCCTTTAACAAAAAGCAAATGCCACGTCTGTCAAGAAGGGGATGAAGCACATCTTGACACAAAGGTAGTAGTGGACCGCCAATGCCTGACTAGTAGTTCTAGTAAAATGAGGAACTGACAGCCTGCACTTAACCTGGGCATTACTCAAAGCAGCACAGCATTAGCCCACACACCCCGCTCAGTCTCCCCACGCTTAGACCTAATAACTATCAGCACGCCCAGTTCCTCTCCGGCATCTTTTTCCAGAAGATGAGATTTCCAAGTTTTCACAAAGCTAAGAGCACCTGTCAGATGGTACTGTCAGCAAGTCACATGCCACTTCTAGGCATTGAGCTCAAATTCTTCACAGTCGCTCCAGAAACAAGCTTTAAACAAAACCTTGAGAGCTGAGCAGCATCCATGTTCTTACATGGAAAACTGAGCACTGACTGCATCCGAAAAAGGATGTTCAGTCCTGAATCCCAACACTGTGCAGCCGCAGATGCCACCGCAGGTTTTCACAGGACAGTTGCTGCTTAAATACAGCACTTACCTCTGCCGCCTTTTGTTTTGGAAGAAAAGCTAATTAAATCCATTCCTCTGAAACTCACAATATGGAAGAAACAGATTAATGGGGCAGAACTGAAACATAAAACAGCTCTCCCTAGCACTGCCAAGTCTTTGGCTTCTCCCTCACCTCGCAGAGCAAGGCAGGCTACACAGGCAGGCTAGAGAAGGAGCAGATAACCTATTTACTTTACTTGCTCCAGACCGGAACATCAAAGCCTACGGGCCTTCCTTCACCCAAAGCCCCTTTGCTGCTGACAGGCTCTCAGAAGTCACAAGTAACTGTGCAGCTCGGGAGATGGAAAAGGACGATCAGAGAAAGAAATACTGTGCTGTTTTCAGCTACTGCAGGACGTTACAAATTAGAACTGCTGTGCTGCTGCACCAGCGTGGCCGTTTACACTACTACAGAGCACTGAAGTCAGGCTTCATAGAATCTTTGGGTTGAAAGGGATCCTTTAAGGTCACCTAGGCCAACCTCCCTTCAGCTACTTTCAGCATCCAGTTCTTACTAGTGGCCGTGCTTGTTGCGGCAGCTGTTGTTCCAGGAACTTTCAATCCAAACCCAAGCGTTCCAAGACTGGCTGTCCCAGTGGAAGGGGCACCAACTGTAAACAGAAGACAACATTAAGAGTTCGCGTAACCCATTAAATACAGTGCCCTTTTGGAAAGCTCTGCCCTGCCCGCTCACCCATCTCCACCTGGTCTGGGTTTCTATTAACCAGCATCACTGTTTAGGTGAAGGATCATCCAGCCACGCCATGAAAAAACGCAGGCTGAACCTACAAAATAGCCAGAGTGCTCTGCCTGCCAAGCTACTGTCACTTCTCTTAACTGATTTTGATTTATCCAACATTTAACTGCTATCAAATGCTAAAATAAGCAAACGGTCCCGGACACGGGCAGGCAGGAAATCCAATCTCTGCATGAGCCTACTTGCTAAAGCAATACAATCGCACACACTACAGGAAACACGCTGGTCACATCTCAGGGGCCTGGAAACAAACCACCTATTGCCATCCAAGAACAAGGTTTCAGACACCCTGACAGAGAATGCCCATTAGCTTAAAGCATTCTTAAACACTAAGATTAAGGTCAGCTTTGGAACTAGAGTAGTAATGCAAGCATTGGAGAGCTACTAAGAAAACAAGTTGTTAGGCTGGTATATACCGTATCTACAAATTGCAGCTGATTAGTTAAAAGTAATCAGTGTGGCTTTAACATAGAACTTCTGAAGGTCCTTGACAGCAGCTGCCTAAAGTTTCAGAGGCCGTGTAAGGCAGCATTACCCGCAGAATAGCAGCATTAGCTCTGGGAAACATTGACATTTACTGCAGCTAGTCTCCATAAGCAAAGGAAACTGAAGCTTTAACATCTCCCTGCGGGTTGAGAAAGCAGGTCATTAGGACTGCCTTCAAAACTTGGCTACTGCCTTACAGCGATCGGAAAATAAGACACTATTTCCCACCTTAAAAGTAATTTTGCGAGAAGAAACTTGCCAGTTATTACCAGAGGAACTTGCAAACATACAGCTGTGTGAATACTTGTTTTTAGCACACTGCACCTCCGCTGTCACAGGCCACTGCCCTTAAAGCAGTGTGAACACCTAACGCAAGAGTCAAAGGCAGACGTAACCAGATTCAAGGCACTGGAGTCTGGAAGACAGCAGCTAAACCACCACTAGAAAGCTCAGTTGTGGCAATGCTACCCAGAGAGACAAACAAAAAATTCACATACACCTACAACTGCCACGTGCTGCTTGCCCACCCTGAATCTAAAGTGTGCTTTGGCTCGAACATAACCCTCCGTGCCTCACCACTGAAGGCAGCTTGCCAGAAATCACAAAGAGGGAAGGGGGCAAAGGGTGAGAATAGACAGCCCTTTGAGATCTCCCATAATATGGGGTAATATCCCAGCATCTGCAGCTCCACTACTGACACGTACCCCAACAGCCATTTTGTGGCATGCTCGTTTTGGGGAACGGCTGAGGACTTTGGGTTTGTCTAGTTTGGAAAAAAGGAGGCTGAGGGGCAACCCCATTTGCTCTCTGCAGCTTCCTGAGGAGGGGAAGTGGAGAGGGAGGTGCTGATTTCTCTCCCTGGCTGCCACGGGAACAGCTCAAAGCTGCAATTGCAAGGGAAGGTTCAGACTCCGTATTAGGAAGCATTTCCTTACCAAGAGGCTGGTCAAACACCGGAACAGGCTTCCTAGAGAGATGGTCGATACCCCATGCCTGTCAGTGTTTACGAGGCATTGGGACAATGCCCTTAAGAATAAGCTTTAACCTTTGGTGAGCCCTGAATGGGTCAGGCAGGTGGACTAGACGATCATTGTAGGACCCTTCCAAGTGAAAATATCCTAGTCTATTCTTGTTTTGAACAGAACCCTCCACGCCCCACCACTGAAGGCAATTTGCCAGAAACCATAAAGAGGGAGGGTGGAAGAGAGTGAGGAGAGCTGGCCTTTTCAATTCTCCCACATTATCCCAGCATCTGCAGCTCCACTACTGACAGGTCACACCAACCGTGCTGCTCATTTATTCCCCCAACGGATAACATCTGTATATTGTGACTTACGTGAGAGGCCCGTGGTGGCAGACGACGTCGCTGCTGAAGAACTCACTATAGATGCAAACAGCGTAGGCCCCGTTGAACCAAGAATGGAGGTTGTGGTGGTAGAGGCAGTTGTAGCAGCTGTGGATGTTACTACAAACAGAACAAGCCGAGATCTTGCACAATCACGCTGAGAAGGCGATACAAATTTGCCAATCTACAACACTTTTGTTAGGGATGTAAGAATTTTAAACTAGCTTTCCTCTTCTTCTACCTCAACCCCATCTCTTTTGCAATGTTCCCTTTAAACCCGTGGCTCCCTTCCACTACGCTCCAGCAACAAGTACAGAACACAATTTGGCACATGGGATGCAGTAATAAGCACAGGATGTTAAGTTCCACGGCTGTATGAACTGTCACAGATTACTCATGCCATTGCAAATTCACAGTAACAAATACTTCGAGCCCATTTCCAGACTCCACTTTCGAAAACTATTCCCAGTAGGACAGCAGATTCGCTATGTCTTGAGTAATCGTCTCCGAAAATCACTTCCTACCTCCAAGTTTCGTTCCAAAGGACAGAGCAGGGCCCTGGCTGGTAGTAGTGGTCAGCGTTGCCGTGGGTGCACTAGTGGCTGCTGCTGTTGAAGGCAATGGCACAAAGTTTAGAACTGTAACAAGTAGCATAAGTAAAAGGAAGAGACGAACCTTTTGCTACAGAGACACTGCAGTGCCTCGGCTGATCACAGCAATAGTCAAGTTAGAAGCAGTAAGAGTATAAGAAATACATTAATATTCAATGTAACAACTACTCTGCGTTATCCAGGAAAGGAACTAGAGCTAACAAGCTCATTACCTACAAAGACTTTCAAGAACGATTCTAACACAGATGAACATCACCCTCACCCCAGAGCTGATGACCTTCCCTCCGAGGCCTGCACTGTCACCAACAAGTCAGTCAAAAGCTGCAGACAGAACTTCGGCCAGACTCTGCAGGAGCGGGCAGGTTCCTGCCGTCAGGGAGGTGAACAGTGGCTTGGCACCCTGGGCCGGGCACATCCTGCAGCAGCCCCACCCCACCACTCTGAGCCCTTTCCCTCTGTACCAGCAAACACACCAAAAACACTTAAAAGTGCTTCAAATGCAGCTGGCACTTCTACACACGCTGGAAAATTATTTCAGCCTCACTCTCCAAACCCAAAGGCTAAATAGCCATTGCTGCTCACCACTGAAGACCCAGGATAAGCACATCGGAAAAACCACTCATTCCAGGCACTCGCTTCATTTCACACCAGCAGAAGCAGGAGGCTGCAGAACCTACACACCATCCCCAGTTGCCCTCCGTGCTGACAGGCTTCCCGACCACAGCTGCCTTTTCAAGCCCAGGCACTCACCTGTGGACTGCCCTCCAAGGCTGAAGGGGGTTGTTGACTGGGTTGCAGCTCCCAAGGTGGCAGCAGTGGTGGCAGCAGCTGCAGGTGCCGTTCCAAAAGTCAACCCTGTGGGCGCTGCTTGCGGAGCTGTAGCGCCGATGTTGAAGCCGGCTGTTCCAGCCTGAGTCGTGGTACCGCTGGAAAAAGTAAACCCTCCAGTTGTCCCAGACTGAGCGGTGGTGGTGGAGGTCGTGGTGGTGGTGGTGCCAGCAGATCCAAACACAAAGCCAGAAGGGGCTGCTGCTTGACTCGAGGGCACGCTGGTTGGTACAGAGCTACCAAATCCAAAGCCCCCTGTGATGCCAGTAGCTTGAGTTGCAGTGCTGCCTCCAAAGTTCAGTTTTGGCGCATTTGCCCTAGAGAAGGAAAGAAAAGAAGCCCGTCTGTTTGAGACATACATCCAGTCAAGTACAGAGTCGGCTTTCCTACAGACCATTTGCTGACAGCAGAAACCACCTTTCAGAGAGACATGCACTGGGCCAGGTTTATGTTTCAATTTTGACAAAGACTGTACCGCAACTCTCACCACCTGCAATCTTCTGTTCGGTCTCTTTATACTGACTCCCCCGTAATTACCTCCACCCATCCCGGCACCAGAACACCTTTATGGCAGCGTTAAGTGAAGTTGCTTATCCTCTCGGCTCCTAAAGCACCCTTTTCACTTCCTCCACATACGACTGTTTTTTCCCAACTAACTTTTACTGCTAGTCCCCATGTGAGCTCCCTTCCCACCGCTCCCATCTGGCAAGCTTCGACAACAGCAGTTCTGAAGAATCGCTTCAACGCTTGCAGCCTTTCCTAAGGACTAAATGGTCCCACTTGGCCAGAGACACGTTCTGAGCGCTCCGGACTGGGATCAGAAAGCACGAGACATTTTACGCTCTGACGCAAGGCTTTATCATCTCGTCCTGCAAGCCTCAATACCCCAATCACAGACAGAAGCATGGAAGAGCTTATTCTTAGCACCCATCTGAAAAAGTCACGCTGACAAACAACCGGGTCTCGCTGAACGCTGTTCCGTATGTGCTGCAGTGCAGCGGAGATTATAAGGCACAAGAGCAACAGGTTTGCTCCCTAGAGAATTACTTGCGAAGCAACGAGGAGGACCTCATCCACTCATACTCCCCAGCGGCCAGGGCCGCTCGGCAAAGCCGCCACCCCCGC